TGACAGTTAAATGATCCCACTTTATTTCAGAGGTTTGGTTTTCATGCACCACTCAATCTTGAAATAAAACATCACAGATGTGGATAAAAAACTGAAAATGTATACATTTGAATTGAGCCATAAAGTAAGAAACTCAAAATAATTAAACTCCTTCCATGATTTTTTGCTTTGTGAGAAATCTGTGGAAGTGAAGTTAGTGTTTGAATGGATAATCTTGGCTGGGATCCTTTGTGCATTTCTGGCTTTACACTCTTAGATTCGACCTTGTTTGCGTCGGCCATGTTGTTTTTTTTCCACAGACTGGACACTTTAAATAGGGAATTCAAATACACCAGCATGTTTTTTAGGTTTCAGCCTCAGACTGGACTTTCCACCAGTTTCTGAGCATCTTTTTTAGCTGATTGTAACGTCTTTTCTTCACATTTCCTGAGCCTGGGGCTCAGTAAGTACGAGCTGGAGCTGCATCATTTCACAACTAATTAGCTTTTTGTGGGCGCATTTTAAGTTGTGCAAAAGCCTGTAAAACAGACCCATCCCTGAGGGGCTGTAGAAGCCCCACCAGCCTCCAGCCGGCCCGTTTGGTCGGTCATCATCAGGGTTTGGGCGCCTCACCACAGGTTCAGCTCTCTGGAAAGGCTGGGGTCCACCTCCCTGAGAGCCGCTATCAGAGTTTTGCCGGGTTTAAATCCCTTCCTCATCACAGTATCAATCGCGTCTCGAGCTTTGTCTTCTCTGAGCTTGGTCTTTGCCCTCTGCATCTCCTCGTTGCTCAAAGCACCCTGCTGAAGGAGTTTATCCAGCAGCTGGTTCAGCACAGAGTCAGACACTCCACTAATGAACTGCAGCCGGACGGCAAACAGTCTCTCCTTTGCTTTGAGTCCTGGGAAATTCCTCTAGGAAAATTCCTGTGTGGGATCTAAAAGGAAAGCAGAGAAATCTATTCAATAGAGTCGTAAACGTTGGCGCTGGAGCTCCATAACAGAAAAGCTCATCAGAACTGGAGAACAAACGAAGGCTCCAGCTTTAAATGAAAGATGGACTACTAAACATGAGAACTATCCGGCCATACCTAACCCAACATGCTACCCAGCTCCTGGTCAGTCTGAGGTCATCTCCTGACTCTCCCAGCCTGGACGGTAAAACCGTTACAGAAGATCAAGAAATTGGCGTCTGGTCTTCAATCAGCCCAGAAAGTCTAGCGTCACCCCTCTGTTCACTGAGCTTCACTGGCTACCCCCAGTTACCACTGGCTACCCCCTGATACCCCCCGTTACCCCTGGCAGCCCGCATCAAATTCAAGTCCCTGATTCTGGCCTACAAAGTAGGGTTGTTACGATACTAAAATATTCAACTCGATACCGATACTCAGGAAAATATTCGATACTCTATACCATTTTCGATACCACAAGAATAAAAACAAAGACCGCAAAATTTAACTAAATTTGGACAGGTTAGTGTCTTTGGTTTCAAACTGACCTGTTTCTGATGTTATGGTGGCCGTTGGCCCGCATTAATGTTGGCGTCTTATTATTAGCCATTAGCCACAGCTAGCAATTCAAGGCTAACGTCACGTTAATGATCATAAACTACTAATCCTAATAAAACTAAACTAAACTAACTAAACAACAGCCATAATATCATTTTATGATACCAATACTCAGGAAAATAATTGATACTTGATACCATTTTCGATACCACAAGGATAAAAACAAAGACCCCGAAATTGAACTGAATTTCCAGTAGCTGAGTTTTAATGATCCCTCTTCTTCTCTTTCTTTTCTATCTTTCTTTTCTTTATTTTTGTGTGTGGCTGTAGTGACCCCTGCAGCCAGCAGGGGGCAGAGGTGGGACACAGGTTTAAAGCTCACCTTCTCCTGGTTCACAGTGAGGAAGGACTGGACTTTTTTCTCAGGTTCATTTGATTTTTGCACTTGTTTTTAGACTAAAAACCCTCCTGGTTAGTCTGCATACAGCTTTTGGTTCCCCTGGGGACTCCGACCCAGAACCCTCTGGTCCTGGTTCCCCCGGGGCTCCAACCCAAAACCCTCTGGTCCTGGTTCCCCCGGGACTCAAACCCAGAACTCAACCATAGAAAGAAAGACTCCGTACTTCCCCTAACGTCCTCTAGTTTAACCACAGAGCTTCAGGGCAGTTGAGACAAACCGGTTCTCCCACCGGGAAAAGCCCCAGTATCGGGTTCTTTCTAAAGGATTTCAGCAGGCTCTTTTTTATTTTGACAATAGATTGTTTTATCGCACTAGAATGAAGCTCGAGTTTCAAATGTGCGCAAAGTGCACGTCGTGCGCGCGCATCCTGCTCCGTCAGGTTTAGGATCAAACGGCCCGAAAACCAAAAAACTAGTCCCTAATAATGCGCTGAACCCGGACCTGCCGGAGGTCCCGTAAACCTCTCACGCGTCTCACCTGGTTCTTTGAGAGACAAATCTCATCGTCCCGGAGCCAGGAAACTCCGCTTTGCGCTCAGACTTGTCCGGATCACTCATCTGCGAACGCTTCAAGACTCTGAAGTGCACGCGCATGCGCACACGTCAGAGGAAAAATCCACAAACTGGGAGAAAGTTTTTCTGTCCCTCTTCCAGAGCCTTCCTACCTTTGAATGCCTCAGTTTACAAGACGTCACGAGACCACAAAGGCATATACACACACGTCTGTATGTAAATATACGTATATACATATGTATGTATGTGTATGTATATGTGCATATATATATATATACACATATATGTTTAAAAATGTTTTATATATATATATGTATGTTTAGTACATATACATATACAAATACTTATATATATGAAAATATATACATTTGTATCTATATACACTATATTGCCAAAAGTATTTGCTCACCCATCCAAATTATCGGAATCAGGTGTTCCAATCACTTCCATCACTGCCACAGGTGTATAAATTCAAGCACCTAGGCATGCAGACTGTTTTTA